CACCAACATCAGCTCCTTTAACTCTAGAACATTAGAAATTAAAAAAAAAAACCAAAACCCAAAATATTGCTAAAAGTGTCAGCAGAGGGGACAGGGCAAGGGGAGACAGAAAGCAGAAAGAGTTAAATCCAACTGCTGATGTCAAGAGAAGCTGAATTGCAGCGGAAGCCCTTCTGCCGAGGTTTCCAGCCACCCTCACAGACAGGGCAAGTCGAAGGGGAAGTCAAAGTTGCAGTGAGCACGTGCAGCATCCAGGAATATCCATCGTGCATCCCCAGCTTTGTCTTTAGACACCAAAGGCTGATGTCTTTTCCAAGCAAAGGCTTGCAAAACTCTTATTCATCTTCTGTCTTCCAAGAGGAAGACTTACCTGAAAGCTGAAGCTTCCATTACAAGAGAAGCCAATGCCACTACTTGCTTGGCTATTCAGTTGCAGTTGAAATTATTTTTGACTATCATCTGAGACTTTTTATTCTGGGGTGTTGACAGCAGCTTCTTCCACCCTCCTCCCTCAGCAGCCTTTAAAGGATAGATTTTCTTGGTTAATTAGATTTTCTTCAGTTGAAAAGACTGAATTATTTCTCAATAGAGTTACTCAAACTACTTACTGTATAATCAATGCTTTTAGATACAAGTATCCACTGGGCATTTTATTTCACATACACATGGGGTCAATTACACTTGCTGTGCAAATCACGCACTTGAGTGTGATCAGTGACACTAGAAATCCAATTATCTTTGGCTTTCTAGATGAATCTTTGAACAGACTAGGGCACAGCTATGTGGCTAATTAAGCTGTATACAAATCCCACATTAAGCAGATGGTGAAACTTGAATGTGATTTCATAGTAACACATTTGAAAGTGACAATTCTAAATTTCTCACTTTGTCTACAAACTGGCTTTGGGATAACCTACTATAAACTGCAACAATCAGCTAAGTAGCATCAACATCCAGATTAACCAGATTCTTCCTGCTACTAGGACACATCCAAAACTGAGGAGCTTTGTAGACAATGGTTACCTTTGGTTCATTTAAAATTGTTTCAGAAAACAGAGTCACTGCTTTGATAGAGAACAATATTTTTCTGTTTGTTTGCTGATTCCTAGCCATACTATTATGTTATCATTATACTACACTTTATTATGCTTTATTATCTCCAGCTATTCTGTCTCAAGAAGGGAATAGGCAAGTAGTCTAAATGTCACCTTCCTGTATAAGCAGGAAGTGTTTCCTCCAAGCTCCATTCCATGTTTGCTATTTTTCTTGCTTACTATAAATCACGTATCACCTGAAAGTCAGGTGATTCAACCATCTGCAATGTCACTTCATCCTAATTTGTCCAGCTGTAATGAGAATACCTGATGTTAACAAGTTACCCATTTTCCACTTTGAAAATTTCTTGGAGTTAAACACAGACACTCCACATTCCTCAAGCTGTTACAGAATATGAAAGAGGAGAAAAAGAATTCAGCAACACTGAATCTCAACCATTTCCATATAGAGTTGAAAATTAACTAACACTGGCCCAACAAGCCAGAGCAGAAAGCTAAGAGACAAATATGGAACAAAATAGAACTTATTCTCCATCTTTGAACAGCATTAGGTTTTTATTTTTTTGTTAATAAAGCCCTAACTAGGTGTATTAGTGAGAAATAATTTGGCCAATATAATAAAAAAGAATGGAAGAGGTTAAGGAAGAGACTGCTATCACTCCTAGCTGGAAAAAAGAGAGATATGAGATGACTGAACAAAGAAAAACCCTAAGGACATAGAAGGAGCAAAGGTAGAGGGAAGGAACAGGAGACAGACAACCTACCAAATTAACAGAAACAAGCAGGCACTTTTAAGATGCCTGACAACTTTTTAATGTGAAACACTTTCATTACTAATCTTCAGTGGGACTGAATGAAACACATTGTGAAAGAACAGAGGCAAGAAAGAGAACTTGCAGCTTCTGGCTTATACCATTGAGTGTACAAAGTCAGAGGACACCAGGGGCTTTGCTGGCTGATCAAGTAACAATCCCACAGTGAGGAATTCTGGAAAACCATATTTCTGTCCACACAAACCTTGGTAATGGCCACACCAATCCTAGAAAATTAGAGACCAGTCAATTTTTTTACATGCAGTAGATACACCTGTGCCACATGACTTAAGGTGTGAAGTCCACCCAGGAAGAATTCAGAGTAGGGGGAAGCGTAAAGTAGACGGCTTGACTTTTTGTTAAAGCTAAATCTTCTATTAGAAGATTGGACTTTTAAGCACCAATCTTCTAATAGTCAGATTTAAAAGTTCTTAAAAACACATCCAAACTGGTGAGACGTGCCTTGCCCAATATTCGGGTTTTTTGCTACAAATGCAGTGTCATTAGCAGTATTGTTGGCCAAAATGAAAGTTAGCAACACAATGAGATGTCACAAGCATTACTAAAGCATTGCACTTAAAGTGTGTGCCTTCCTCTGGCCACCTCTTAAGCCTTTTGTCTATTTGCTTAGCCTAGCTGGATAGACCAATCTACATTTGATGCTACCCATCAATCTGAATTTTAAAGCTAACACAAATTCATTTTATTTGCCCATGGCCATTTGTCTCTTACTTCTCAATTCATGTCAAAGAAGCAAAGAACTTTTTTAATTGTGGGATTAAAGTCGGGCTCCTTCACTTTTTATGCTTAATAGGAAATCATGTCAGTAGCTGAAGTCTGGTCCCCAAAGAGCCGGGTTAGTCAAACATAAGACAGAAATCCAACTACTCTACTTGACAATGAATTAAGCATTTGCCACAAATAGTGCCTAAAAGCAATTATTCCCAAATTATGACAGCAGTTCAGAAAAGTTATATCTCTGAATTCTTTATTTGGTAAATACAAAACACTATGGTGACAGCAAAGACCCCATCTGGACAAAGGTCTGCCTCTCCACTGACCAGCCAGGAGGCAACTGGCAGGGCTGAAGCATCTTCTGTGGGTATGCTGCTGCACTGCACACAACCTTCTACTGCACACAGTCCATATCAGCAGGGAAAGAGTAATTTTCTGGAATTTGTTATAAGCTGAACTGGGTAAACAATACTGGCCCAAAATACTTTGCTCTTCAAGCACAGAATATCTGAAATCCTACAAAGGAATGTAAGACTTCTTAATAGGACAGGCAAGATGAAGTGTCAGGGAAACTGAAGCTGCAGGCACACTTTCTTAAGAACAGGATCTAATGTGGCAACACTATTAGAGATCTCACTATTCAGAGACCCAAAACAGTAATAAATAAATAAAATCTAACATTGAGAAAAGGACAAAAAAAACCCCCAAAAAACCAACAACAACAAAAAACCAACAACAACCAGAAAAGTCAGTGGAATCTTTTATAGCATATCTTAAACTTCTTCCTCTGACAATCAGTATTAGAGAAGTTATTTCCCATAAATCTCTGTTAGATAACAAGTCTAATTTAACCTAGTACACTTCAGATCGGAATATAACAAATCTGTGGCTAAACTCATTGAAATTGAAATGTTTTAATATATTTAGCATACTCTATGCATTCTGTGTGTAGCCTTGCACAGATATGCAAATTCATCTCAGTTGATGAGGAAGCTGAAGTCTGCTTTATTTTGAGACCAAGCTGGAAATCAATTCTGATTTAAAATCTTGAATACTAGTCCCACAAAGGGATAGAAGAGTCACAGTTTGACTTGTAGGCTTTTAAATACAATTTATTTTCTAGTGACAATTGAAGGATCTCGATTTAGATATAGCATAAAATCAAGTAGAAACAAATATAGAAAAAAATTCACTGTGGGGTTGTCAGTGCAGATTAAAATACCTAACACATCCTACTTGGGTTTTTCACATTGTTTGAATAATTACTACTAAGATTCACAGTGTATTTTTTGTGCATTGGCAACATAATTCAACTAAAGGTATCAAGTTATTCACCAAGAACCATGTAATACCTTTTAATAAATGCAGAAATATCACATATTTACCTTCTGTCAGAAAGTTAAACCCAGTCTCCCAATACTTTGGACATGTACCACAGGTGGACAAAAAACCCCAGGCCACCTCCCACAGGGCATTCAAGCAGGAAACTACACAGACATTTCTTTTTTCACCTGGGGCTTTACCTGTCCTTGTCAGGAGCCTCTGAAGTGGCCCAAGTTGTCAAAACAATTTCACCTGCTCTGCAGCTACTTGTTGGTAGAGCACTCACTCAGCCTTCACACAAAACAATGTTTCAGATAGAGTGCTTTCAGGTTTGTGGCATTAAAAAGTTACTATAATAAATTTTAATCACCTATGTAACAACACAGCACCTGAACTTGCATCCCTCAGAGGACAAAAGAGCAGTAACACTGCCAGAAAGAAGGCAAAGTACACAAGTCAGAAGGTGAAAAGTCTCCCTTCGCTCTTCATGAATTATCACACATCTTTATTGTGCTTTACTTGAGCTCAACACAAAATATATTAGATCATTTGTGACTGAACAGTGGGAGTCCTTTAATAATATTTTGTTAGGTATTTCCTTACTTTTAGTAGTACAATTTCTTAGACTGTGGATACAATACAAATGAAAATTTGTATTGTATCCACAGTCATTCTGGACATACTCCAAACATTAAAATCTTAGATTTTTTACAATTAGACTACCTTGTAGAATTTAGAGATACTGGGGCAGAGGACAATTTACATATTCCACTGCTAGAGATGCAAATTACTAATCTTCCCCTCCTTCCCCACCTACCTCACCAGAGAATCTGGGTGCTCAGTTCACCTCAGTACTTCATTTTCACACAGTACTTTATGCTTCCTGTTATGTAAGATGAAAGTTAGAAGGATTTCAGCAAGCAACACCACATATCCCAAAGTGGTAGGTAGAGTTAGTAAAAAGAACATGTTCTGCATATACAATCACAGAAGAAACATAACACCAAAAAAGTGGATGCATTTTATCAGACTTTGCATTTTAAGTAATCTTAAATCCAAGCAACAGAAGAAAATGTTATATTTTGAATGTTTTTATTCCAGTCAAATTACAAATACAAGCATTTAAAAATGTACAAAAATATAAAAGGACATTTTCTACATCTTACAAAAGCAGATCAAACTTACTTCTATATGTACAATCCTTTTAGTGAGAAAGCCTAATTAGCAGACATTTTTTCTGTTCTCTTCTGAGCATTCTTTGCCAAATCTCTCCCCGCAAATTCAGCCACACTTAAATCTAAAAGTAACAATTCAAAAACTTAATATATTAAATGTCCCTGAATAGATTACAAAGAAACCATTTCTCACAAACAACAAACCTGTCGGTGGTAATGTATTTCCTTAATGACTTTAGGGGAAACTACATCCTAATGGGTAGCTTGCAAATCAAACTTTCTGTAGTTTGTTGGTATGTAACTTGGACAACACAGTTGGATTACATTTTTATTTTTTAAGCTATTTTTACACATTAAAAAAAAAACAATGATAGCTTTGTTGATAGCATTCTTCCTTCCCCTAAAGTTTTATCTCTTTCAAAAAAAAAATCAGAAAGGAAAGTATCTGCAAATAATTATAAAAAGCAGTAGAAGAATTTTTTCTGAATCCAAAATAAATGTTTTTATTGCAAAAGGGATCGAAGTGATCACCTGCTCAATAACACATTGTACTAATGAATGCAGAGGAAACACTGCCACAGCAAAAGTTTTGAGCCATCCCATAATGTCTATTCAAATATTTTTGGTATCAAGTTTTGCTCAGTAATATTGATCAAATTACCTTAAGCAGTATAGTTCCTCTCCACATTCTGTCATTCATTTGGCCACGACACTGTTTTCTTTCAATGTTCTGACAACTGATGCTTTTTGGAGCTGCAGTAATGTAAGGATAGGCAAGGCAATGCTCATGTAAAGAGATAGCTACTTAAACTAACATTATGGAAAAACAATTTTGAGGGACACAAGCCTTTTTTTAGGTCTCAAATACAGCAGTAAACTTTAAAATTGAAAACAGTTGCTCAATTTACATGAATGTGCCCAGTTCCCAAGAGAAAAGCAAGGTGTCACTGCTTCAAAGATAGCTCCCAAGAAGCAGGTTCTGTCCAACCTTTCTTTTTGCTATTCCTTCAGCTGTCAACTTCAACCACATCATTTAACAGAAAGCTGCTTAGCAAGAGAACAGGTAATACCTACTTCTACAGAGTCCAGAATACAGGCACCCAAGCCATAATCTTCTAGCTGCTACCTGTAACAAACTAGAAGAATTTTATTTACCTGGCCCAATTGTGGACAGAGATCTCATGAACTTGTACTGTGATGGAGATAAATGCAGGTTGAATACAGGTTTAACAACAGCCCCCTGCCTGCAGCACACTCACCTATGCTAGCTTTCAATTCTGCTGCTTCTACAGCCTAACTTGGGCCTCTAAAAAATTCAAACATCTGCAGAAAAACACACTAATACCCCAGAAGTAATGTTCACTTCTGTACAACAGGTAGTTCAGCATGACACCAAGCATTCTAACATCTTGTTCTTCATGTCATCTGACTGAAAATCATCATTCTGTACTTATGTGCATAATGTACTTAGAGAATACTCAAGTCTCTTAAGTTTCTCTGGCAAATTTTAGACACAACCCATTTTTCTACTGTCCTAAAATATTTTAAGATTGCCCTATGAGCTCATTTCAGCACTAACATATTATATACATATTTTTACTTGCTAAATATTTACTTTTTAGTTCACAGGAAAACTTATTTTTCTAGCAAGATCATGAGCACATTTTTTAAGCATTACCACAGACACAAAAGATTAATGTGGGATACTTTTAGCACTGGTAATATCAATAACATTCTCCAGTTACTTTACACTACTGGTTAAGGTTAAAGGACAGTGCTAACAAGCATTTGAAGTTGACTGAAGCTTTTCTTTTCTTGCTAAGACAAGAACACATCACAGGCAGTTTTGTTGTAAACTAAGAAAAAAACAAGGAATGTATGTATTACCAAGGAAAATAAACTCTGCAGCACCTAAAATAGGAGTCATATTTGGGAACACAGATGTAGCTTCACAAAAGACACTTAGAGAAAGTTCTGTCTGCCTAGTCATCTACCTCCTTCAACTAAGTTTCATGTAGACCTAACTGTAAAACCAAAGCCAGCAACAAGCAGAATCAATAGACAACAAAAAGCTTTTGATGTAAGGCAATTGCTTCACTTTTAACAAGGTGGGAAGAAAAATAGTGTAGTTTATGGACCAGCCAGTCAGTATTTGAGAGGTAGTCTAGTTTTTCATTTGACTGAGAGAGGTAGAACTGGTTGAGAAATCAATAGCTAAGGCCAGTCAAATTCATATCTCAAGTTGCTAAGATGGCTCAGCCTGAGACTGCTAATGTCACAAGGGATTCAGCTGCTTTGCTCATATTTATTCACTTTTATATGGGTAAGGTTCTTTAAAATATCCAGAGAGAATGCTCCCAGAAATAGCCAGCAAAAAAAGCTTAACTACATTTTGGCACGTGCCAATCAATTAATACAGGTTATACAGATTATGACTGTGAAGGTTAAAAAAGCTAAGTGGCTCTCCTCATTTGGCAGATCAATATTACTACAAAAGCACAGACATACCAAGTACTAGAGGCAAGTTTTAAATTCCATATGGTTTACCTGTATAAAATTCTCCATCCATTTTTTTCACACATTAAAGAAAACCCAATTATTTTAGAGATGAAAGCCAAAAAGACATGAGGGTCATAGAGTCAACAGGTAATAAATTCCTTGTAAAGACATCTGGGTACAGAATCATACATAATGCTCCCTTGTATTGATGTAGGCTCTTCCAGGTCCTGAGCTTTGGGGGTATCTGTTGCTCCAATTTTTGTAGTGAGTTTGCTGATAAACAGGATACATAGGCTGAAGACCCTCTTGCTCCTGTGGCTCTTCAGCCCCACAAGTAAGTTGCCTTCCATTCACAGTTTTCTAAACACACATAAGAAGTAATAAGTTTCATAGTTCATGTATAGAACCTGAAATTCCTATTCTTGGTAAAGCTTTAAGCAAAATCAAAGATACATTATCTCCAAGACAGCCCTATGAATAAAGAAACAGGAACTTATAAATTTCCCTAGCAGACAGTTAACTTCAAATGCTTGTTTCAAATGAAGTTGGACTCTAAAGATCAATAAATCTAAAGAGCAAACCAGCAACTACAAAAATGTCTGTCAACACTCTTATGCTTTGTATTACTCACCAAGAAAAGAAAGCCGGAGTGTTTAAGTATTTAAATTAGTCATCAAACTACTATAGGATATTAAAATGGTACTGCCACTTTTCACTTAACTCACACAATCAAACAGTTATTGACCAGGACGGACAAATATTTTTTTTTGTTCATGAAAACCAACATTATAAGTTTATTTTATGGAGTAAGATGAAATCAAAGCTTCAATCAGGAATTCAAGCCATCTTATTATTTACCATGTTCTGCAAGTTTCCAGCATCTCTCTCTCTGTACTGACTCTGCAAAGTAAAATGTTCTTTCTGAAAGAAGAAAAGTTACAGGGGAAACAAGTCAAGATTCAAAACTGCAGAACAGCTTTGGTTAATACAAAAAACCACCAGTCATCCCAAAAAACACTCTGCCTTAGGTAGTGTCTTAACTGGTTATCATTTAGAATGCTTCTTACAATCCAATGGCGAGTGGAAAAAAGATGAGGATCAGTCAGGGTCACCTGTCCCAGCTGTGTTCCCTCTCCCAATATCTTGTCTCCCTCCCAATATTCTGTGTACACCCCAAGTCCATCTGCTGGCAGGGCAGTACAAGAAGCAGAATAGGTCCCAATGCTGTCCAGCAATAAAAAACTTCCCTGAGTTATCAACACTATTTTCAGCACAAATCCCAAACACAGCCCCATACCAGCTACTCAGCTACTGCAAAGAAAATTAGTCCACCCCAGCCAAACTGCCAGCAATAAGAGATGAGGTTCAAGATCAGCTAAGGAATCTGGAGGTGAACAAGTTCAGGGGACCTGATAAGATACATTTGCAAGTTCTGAAGACACTTTCACAGGAAGTGACTAACCCACTATCCATCTTGTATTAGAAGTAGTGGCAAGACTGTGGTGCACACTGTCTGAGAAAGGGGAAATAAGACCCCCAGGTCTAAAAACATGACCTGAGAAACTACAGGTCAGCCACACTTCAGTGCCCAGCAAGATGAAGGAGCAGAAACTATGCTAAGGCATATAGAAAATAAGGAGATGGTTGGTAACCATCATCATGGTTTCACTAAGGGCAAATTGAGCCTGACAAATGTAGTGGCTGTCTATGACAGGATCATAATGTTGATGGAAAAAGGAAGAGCATCTGATGTCACCTACCCGGACTTATGCAAAGCATTTGATGCTGTCTCACATGACATCTCTAAACTGAGGAGACATGGATCTGATGGGTGGACCACTCAGTGGATAAAAAACTGACTGGATGGTCACACTCAGAGATGGCTCATTGCTGGCTCAAAATCCAAGCAAGGACCAGTGACAAGTGACATTCCTCAGGGGTCTGTATCAGGACCAGCACTGTTTAACATCTCTTTGGCAACATGACAGTGGGATCAAGGTACCCTCAGCAGGCTTGAGAGGTGGCTCTGTGTGAACCTTGTGAAGTTCAACAAGGCCAAGAGAAAAGTCCTGCACCTTTCAGGTGCAATCATAAACACAGGTAAGAGCAATCATAAACACAAACACAAACTGGGCAGAGAAGTGATTGAGAGCAGTTCTGAGGAGCAGGACTTGGGAATGTTGGTGGATGAGAAGTTACTTCATGCAGAAGCATTGCAATCTCCCTTCTTTCACGTTTATTTTTTTCTTCACCATTATGATAGAAAAACTTCATTTGTGAAATGGACTGCCTTCAAACAACCAGTTAATCACCAACTGCCTGAGTTAATGGCTGATTAAATCACACCAAGTAATGCCATCTAAAAATTATGGTTTAGGGTACAGTTTGTACTCTGGTATCATCACTCCTAGTAAAGTTCTTCCTTTATGCTACACATAGTACAGGACCACAATAGGCTAAAGCAACACCTTTGCACAATTGTATGTATTTTTTGTTTTGCAATTCATCTTTTCCCAACAGTATCACAGTGGCAGCAGCAACACAAAGTAGGCTAGGTTGCTGATCTTTGTGCAGAAGCCCCTCCACAAGTATTCATACAGGTAGGTAACATTTCCAGTGGTCATATATCCGTATTCTTACTTTCAAGAACTATTTTGAAGAGAACCCAATCTCAGTAATATTTTGTTCTTACCTTCTCCTCCTTCCCCTTAACTTTTTACCTTTCCACATTTGTTTAGTAAAGTTTTGAAGTAATTTTGAGTTAATTTTTAATATGTAAAATTTCTTCAAAAATCATCTAATATTTCCTAACCGTTTCCACTCATCCAACAGTTATTTTTCACCATCTTCACAGGTTTATTTTTCAACTTTAGTTTGTCAAGCTTTTTGTCTTATAATTCTATTTCAAAGTATCCCCTCCTGCCCTTAAAGTCACCATGCTTTTGCTTCTCAAGTCCTAAAATGCAGTCTGCATTTCTGAGAATATGTGACTTACCACTTAGCAGGATGTGTTGCTCCTTCAAACCTGAGCTGAGAGCATGAGTTCACCACACAAGGAGACAAAACACACATGGGGAACAAAAAAAGTCCCATCTCCACCAAAAGCTAATGTTCTTTAAACAAAAATCAAAACAAAACAACAAAAAATCTGCTTGCTTGAGGAATTCTACCAACAGTGGATATGGACATGATTTAGAGACTCACTGGAAACCAGAATACCATGTGCCTCATTCTAACCCCAATCTGGTAATTTTATTTTTCCTATTGCAAGATCCTTCATCAGTACAGATTATTTTATTGATGCACCTTTTGTGCTCCCTTTCATTCAATCTTGTTTGTCTAAACAGTTCTTTGGTTTAAGGCAAATAATAACAATACTGCTTCCTTTTTCATCAAGGAAGAGATATTCCCACCTGTATAAAAAGCATTAGGAAAAGAAATAGATGAGTGCAAGAGAGCCATAATCCATAAATGAATCAGTATTATACTAGGTTTAAGGGCTCAGTGGCTGATGTTTCCAAATTTGATTCAGAAACATCATCATTTGATAAATGGTATTTGATACTTTTAACAGTGCTAAGACAACTTCATATTTTTCTTTCCTGTTTTGATCAGTAATACAAATATTACAGTTAAAGAACTCTGCTTGTCTAAATAGTGAGGCATTCTTCCAACCTGCAAGTCTCAAGTCAGTCTTCTCATGGCCAGACATACTGACTGGGCTGCATTTCCCTTATCCACTCCTATTTCTGTTGTTACAGAAGAGCCTTGTTAAATTCTAAATCCTTCAACAACTCTGAATGCTGCACTGCATTGTGCAAAACATGTTTTTTTCTTTCCTTCAGAAGTACCTGTCAAATTAATAATAACTTCAGTTCTTTAACATTGTCAAAGACTGCCCATCTTGAGCATGTTTAGAGGAAAGTAAATAAGTTTTTGCTTCTTAGCAATATATTGTTTGAAACAGTGAAGCTTACTCTAATGATGCCAAGGACTCCCAGAATTAGTACACCCTCTTACACTCCTTTTAAAAATACTATGCAATAGAAAAATTCCTGTTTAAGCCACTGGAAATATTCCATTGCTCAACTTCTTCCTTATTCACCTCAAAACCCACATTGTTAAGCAGAGAGTCCTCTCTCAACAAGGACATAACCTTCAGGCTGCTCACCACTCTTTCACATTACATGTAATAGATAGTTCTGAGCAACAGAATAGCGTTTCCATGGCAATGATTATTAAAAGAATACCTGGACAAAAGTAACAGTGCTGTTGACAAAAGAGTTGACAAGTCTTCATAGTAAATAAAGCTATAATGTAATTTTTTCCATTGTATTTTTATGCTTTGGACTTTTGCCTTCCTCTTTTAGGGCCATAAGTGAACCAGTTTTTCTCAGTTCTGAAGTGACTCACAAGAACACATGAATTGTTATCTTCAAATACCAGTACAGAGAAATTATGAGTACTCAGTTACATAGTACTTGTACATACTGGTAGCTCATTATTAACACTAGCAGGTAAATGAGAATGTATATTTAAAGTAAACTGAAAGTTTCCGAGTCTCAAGAAGTATCCATGAAAGATACTGGCTGTCCAGTACTATTCACAGGTCCAGTTAAATTTCTCTTCATTTTAATGCCATCACCTGCTGACTCAGATATGCATAAAATCAGTTAAATAATGATTGCTGGAGTACAAAAAGGAGAATTTCAGCATCATGTACTGAATCTTAAATACTTTACAAGATAAAAAAAAGCTACTTGTCCATGATTTGAATAACAGCAGAGATGATTGAAAAACTAGCGCATTATTTTTAACAACTTACCAGAATCAGCCTAAATTGAATAAATCCACTTTCAATTCTAAGTTATTGTGAGCATGCAGAAGACACCATTTAAATTCACTCCTTTACTTTGCACCTTTGTGTAGCCTATCATTTCCACTCAGGCTGAACTGATCATCTGTTGTGGTTGACAAAGCAGTGACATTTCCCCTACAATTCTTTTTAGAAGATCCAGAAGTTTACATCTTAACTACCCAGTGAGAGGCTCACCTGGCATCTCATGCTGGGTAGGCACGACAGCAATTGGAACACCAGGTAGTAGAGTGGTGAGTACAGACATTTAGTCACACAAGATGAGACATCCTGACAGGCTGCTAACTTTTTTCTCTTGCCTCTTTACAGCTATCCAAATGTTGGCTTGGTACACCAAAACAATACAACCAATCACTTCTTGGCTAAAGCTAGTATTTTGACATTTATTTCTGTTAGATAAAATGAAGCTCTTGCCTCAAGCATAACAGAGTACATACTCATTAGAGGCAGTATCATCTAGAAGACAGCCTCCAGCTCCAGGTCTTTTCAGTTCTGGAGTTCCACAGACAGAAAGACAGGTACGCTAACAGTGTTGTGACAACATCCATTTCTTAAATAAAGTCTGGCTAACACCTAACCTGAAGGGGAATCTTTCTCCTCCCAAAACAACTTAAAACTCTGTTTATCTAATTTGTGGAAAAGAAATATTCAATTCAGTCTCTTTATGATTTTTTCTCTATTTACAAAATACATTTTCATAAAACATTTAATTAAACATTCCAAGACTACAGTCAGGTTCAGCATAAGTTCTTTAGAACCAATTAACAGAAATCGCAATAAGCACAACCTAGAAAAAATTCAAAGACAGCAAAGTTCTGAAGAGGCAAGCAATAAGGTACACATTCTCTTATGTCTACCTCCTTTATAAGTTGCTCTGTAAAGGACAAATAAATGCATTTCCTAGTGTTGTAATTTTGCCATCTAGCAGCACTACAGATGCACAAATACCACAATAGACCATATATTTTGATTCTATAAGCAAGAGAATATTTCTCAAATACTTTAAGCAGAAATATTAGCAGAAGAGTAATTCATCAAAAATTGCAATTGTTGAGTACTGTAATAGAAGAAATAGCCTTGATGCCCATCCTGAGCGCAGAAAAGTGCCGGTTCTTTTGTATCATCTTTGGTACTTAACCACCTTTAAGGTAAGAAGGTGAAGACCTATTATTCTTTATGCCAACAAAATGTTTTCTACCTTCACAATGTTATAATCATCAGGCTGCTACTACTAGATCCACTACTATTGCAGCAGTGGATCTCAGAATATTTTCCTGCTTCACTAAGCAACAATATACGCAAGTATTACCCATTGTAACATTTATGACATAAGGAAGGCTTTTATCAGCAACTGCTATTTGCTGAGCTTTAGTAACCATCAATCACAAAGAAAATCTACAAGAATATTTTCAATGTTATTAAGAACTCCATCAAAATCTTTCTTAAAGGTAGGTGAAGATTTTTCCCCCTTTTCCCCCTCTATGAGAAAGGACTTTTATAGGTCCTTAAAATTGCAAAAATACATCATAGTATTGGAAAAATGATATTTCTTATAAACAAATTATTATTTTAATTAGCTCAGTGTTATGATTTGGCACATCAGTGGTTAGAATCACATTATTTATGGTATGTACTGAGGATGGAACAAAAATTTTATTAAAAACAATTACAATCTAATTCTTACAAATACTGACAGATGACGGAAATTTTCTTCAACGTAAGCAGAAATGTAAAAAAATCTGACTGATTAATGTAATATAAACAACATACACAAGAGACTTTAGGGGCCATGGCAAGGATCTATAACTGACATTAGCTTAAGTGACCTCTCAAGAACAGGTCTCCTCTACAATGTCTAGTGCAAGAGAAGCCTGAATTCACCTGGGGTTTCCCAAGCACTCTAGTCAACTTCAAAACCGTGCTGTAAGGAAGAACCTACCCTTCCTTGCTCCCCGCTTACTCAAAGTGTTTCATTTGCTAGAATCAGCTTTCCAGTGCGACCTCTAAAAACTGGTTTGATCAGACTACACCCACAAAATCATTAAATGCTGGTAAAGAAGTTTCTTGCCTATTGTTGTCTTGCTTGGACAGCATTACTTCAGATGACAAGAAGCTACCCCTGAAAGCACACGAAAAATTCAACTGTTTGTCATGAAATTGGTATGAGGTCATTTGCTGCTGGTAAATGCAAGCAGAAAAGATAAAATTAGAAGTTACATAATTGCAAATATTTAAAAGTGATTTAGTAATCCTCAACGAGGCTCAAACTCATATTTTGGTAGATTAGCCACATCAAAGCCCAAATTTTAACCTATCCTCACCCCTCAACCGTTAATAACTCAAAAGATTGGCAGTTGTTACCAGCAAGGGAGCTTTTGATCAGGCCAGTTTTTAAGTTTACAAGCATAATTTTTCCCTTTTATGAAGACTGCTTCATAAAGCTATGTATACTCTCTTACCACAGAATTTCAACTATAGATTTTTCTAATTGAAAAGGAGCAGTGTCTGTCAAAGGCTTTACAAGTTTCCACCTCTAAGGATGACTTTAACATTATAGTTAACAGATCTGGATACCACACAAGTAGAGAAACAGCTTGGTTGTGAAACCACTGAAAGGTTTCCATATATTACCGGGAAGACAAAATCAGACCAATTTAACATAATAAAGCAAAGTTAACACTTTCCTTAAGTCAATTTAAGATGCATATAAACACTTACTCACCTGAAGCATAGCTTCTTTCTGTGGCACTGACAACGTTCTCTCTCCAAATGAGGCTGGTTTGTGAGTGGGTGGAAGATCAATCCTGTAGTAAAAGGGGGAATGAAATATAACACATCATGTTTGTCAAGTCCAATTGAATGGTCAGATAAGAACTGCCAAATCATCCAGCATTCAGTACTCAGGGACAAACACCTTTCAGTCAGCAATGACTCAGATGTGATATATTGTAATGGAATATGTCTACCACTGGCTATTATTCAGGAAGACACTTTTTGTAGAAAAGCACTATCCAGAATTTGTTATTTATTGCATCCTGTGTTTAGCAGACTGAACTTCCCCCCAAACACTTCAACTAAGGAGGATTAGAAACTACTGGTATCTAACATAGTTTCTCATAGTTACAAGATACAGTTTGAACAACTTTTTAAATTATAGACTTCCCTTAGAAAGCCTTTGAGAAAGCCTTACTAGCAATTCTTACATGCAAGACTTTTTCAATTTTAACTTTCTCAGTGAAAGCAAGTGGTTATAAAATAATTTAAATGTTTAAGATCATTCACAGAAATAAGCTTCAAATACAGAATTTAAGAGAAACCATGTTAAAAGTTGCTCAAAAGAAGACTCTTGAATCATCTTGCTAGCTCAATCCAAATGATGAAACTTATTTTATGCTAAAGGTTCTTAGTTATTTTACTTTAGTTCTCTTTAACTATATGAACAACATTTCCAATTCAGTTTTAGTGTTAACTGTATATGGGATTTAAGAAACTGTATATGGGATGTAAAAAGACATATATTTACAAATATTGTATGCCTTTGTTACTTTTTTATGCATGTTCCAAACAGAATCTAGACATCATCCCCTTTAACTGACAACATCTTCTCAGACGTTTTTGTTTCCTTCTTTTTTGTTTGATCATATTGAACAGAGTAAACTGCAAGTCTGTGCCAGAGGCTTTAAGAAATAACCAAAATTCCAAAAAGCACAAGAAATCAGTAAGCATGGATCTGTGGAAGCTCGCTTAATTTTACAAACATTTCAGGAACTATTTTAGGGGGCCTTCACATTTGCAAAGCATGGCCAATTTACCTTGCAAGTTAGATCTGCAGTTACAACAAACTAGCAGTCACTGGCACCAGTCAAGAGGGAACCCTTTTTTGCCCTCCAGTTAAATCTATGAATAGTTTTCTTTCAAAAAACCCCAAACTTCTCATGAGATAAAGCTCTTTATTACTTCCAAAGTAATTCTTACCTTCCTTATTTCTTTTTCAGAAATGTGTGATTTCACATTTTGTACTCTGAAAATAGAGCCCTGAAATTAAAAAAGCTGAATAGCTGCTAAATTAAGTCAGACACTTAAATTACTGTACAGAACAAACTCTTTCTGCATATCGCTTTCAACTGAGTAAGAAAAAACGTCCAACACATACTCACACTTTGTCAAGATAGGCTGGCCTTTTCTTCCTTGGGGTCAGCAGCACTGTCACAAAGATGGTAATGATAAAAAGAGCAAGGACTGCTCCAATCACAGCCCCTGCTACAGCAACAGAAGATGTCTGCTTAAAGGGCACATCTGCAATGTGATAGCATAGGTTACAACTATAAGAAGTTCATATACTTTTAAAACTCAGATAAGCTACTTCAGCGTTGTTCTGAGAAATGCTTCTTCCTTGCACTGCCAAACAGAAAGCCTTGCCCTGCACTAGCACTTCTGCAGTATTGCTTCAACTTACCCAACTAAACAACTGGGGAAATTAAGAGAGCTCATGAAATCAAAATTTTTGTTTTAAAAATTTTATGGACTACTTTTATTAAGTATGAGCAGCATGCTTTCATTCTCAATTTCAAGGTAAGATGACATTACAAAACATATGATTTACACTTAAATAAGCTAACAAGGTGTTAATTCAAAAACCTAGGCAACTATGGTTTATTGACAATCTTTCTTTAAAGGCACTTAAGTTTGCAGAAAGCAAAAAAGAAAAAACTTAAAATCAGGGTAAAAACCCCCATATACTAACTACTAGAAGCAATGAATATGCAAACAAACACTAAATACTTGGCTTACACTTATTATTAAAGCAAACCCTAAGACCACCTATCATCTTTAGGACTTCACACTTCAAGCTACAAGAAAGTAATTTTTATAAACAAATTTTAATAAAGGGAGAGAAAAAGCTGTGTTTTTTTCCTTTTACAGCATTTTTCTGTTGACCTTAGCATTGTGAAATCCAATGCTGAACAACTCCCATACTGAATTAGCATACTTGTCAGTCTTTAAAGGCCACTCCTTTCACTATGCTTAGAAATCAAATTTTAAGTCTCAAAACTGGAAAAGCTGCTAACATACTTTAACTTAAAATCATCAGTCCTTTAAACTAGTGCCAACAGGCTCAACAAAAAGTTTCACAATTGGAACAATTCATGTCAGCTGCACTAAACACTTACCTACAAAATTTAGTCAGCATACATTAAATAATGCTCTCATTTACATTGAGTACTGAATCACAAAATTCAACAGTGAAGAAATTGAAAATTAACACAGTTACCTTCAATGTATTTCTAAAGCAGTCTATTATTATTCAAATGCAACACAACCATTCTCTATTTAATCTCTTACTGACAGAAATTTTGAGAACCTCTTCAGCTGTATGTTCTATTCACAGATAAAAACCCTGAGACTATACAATATGATTTATCAATTCCTCAGATTTCTTATGTTGTTCTGCCTGTATGCTGGAAAGCTGAGCAAAACCCCTCAATTAAAAAAAAAAAAAAAAAAACCAACCTAAAATACAACACTTGATTTGCACTCTAATAAACAATTCCTGTCCCCTCACTGCTTACCAAAGATCTGACATGAACATTCCCCTGGGATTACACTCACAAAGTATATTTAAGTAACTTGAAAAAAACTGCAGTAAGCTTTTTTTTGTGACTTCCTTAATGTTAAGGAATAAAGTCCTAGAGTAACAACTTGCAGAAGTTACTTTGCTCTTCAAAGATGAACGCAACATACCACCCTTGGTTTATATATCGGTTTTCCTGGCATAAGCTCCACGTGTCCATCAGATACCAGCCTGGACACTATAAACTGTCCTGGCTTTGGCTGAAATAGGGTTAATTTCTTCTCAGGAGATTGTACAGTGGTTTGGATTCAGCATGAGAATACTGCTGATAACTGACCATGTTTTGATTTTTGCTAAGTCGTGTTTATCCTAAATCAAGGACTTTTATTTTTTGTGTGTGTGCCTCTCTCATGCTCTGCCAGTGAGGAGCTGCACAAAAGAAAACTAGGAGGGAGCATAGTTGGGACAGATCACCTGAAGAGGACAAAGGGATATTCCACACTACAGAACATGCCAAGTATATAAACTGGGGAAATTACCCAGAAAAAGGTATTGTGCATCACTTGTTTGTTTCCCCCACTTCATTATCCATTACTATTATTATTATTACATTTTACTTTGTTTTCAATTAAACTGCTCCTATCTCAACCTACAAGTTTTGCTTTTGATTCTCCTCCCGATTCCACCAGGGTGGGAAGAAATGGGGGTGGGGAAAGCAAGCAGTTGTGTTGTGCTTAGCTGCAAGCTGGGCTTAAACTATGACACAAGAATAATTCATAATTTTTCCTGAAGAATGGGCACGTGAATCAGTGGAAGGGTCACCTAACTACTGCATTTAAACTGGCTTGAGTTTAGTTTACATTGGGTGCCCTCTTCTTGAAGTGCGAAAATCTCAACTAACTAATATACATTCTTAGGTGTAGAATTCTCAAAGATGCTTTGGCCTTGTGATTATATCAGAAGAGTTCCTTGACTGCTTCATCCTAACTTCATGGTGCCTTTTCTTCTAGTAAATTCTGCTATCATGTCAAGACATCAGAAAGTGTTATAATTTCAATCAAAGCCCACCCATTGAGTCTGATTTTGGGTGAGATGACAAACACCCATTTACTTCTGAACATCAGGAAAAATAGTAACATCCCAGCACAGTGTCACACAAGAACTTAAATGCAATTATCACAGGGCACACTTCATTTGGTTTTTTGAATTGCTTTGGCAAAACATTGGTCTAACCAGTGGAATGATCATAAACCCAGACCACCATGACAAGCTGAACAAGCCAGAGAGCACCTAACATGTATGGTGTTAGCTACAAAGCAATTAAACCACCAGATGGTAAGAAATAGATGAGAATTGATTAATTCCAAGAAATATGGTTAAAGCAAACAAAGACAATAGAATGAAAAAACAAGACTATTTTGATGTATGCAATGTCTAGTTAGTTTATCAGCTGTGCTTGAAAACAAATGTTTTGGATGGCAAACACCCCCATTTATCATTCTCTTAATCTTCTTAAAAGAGTTTCTGAAGACACTTGTTTTATAAGTTTATGCTCTCTTAGGTGAATACTAAACAGCCCATCTCAAACAGCTTAAACGCTTTAGTTCATTCTATCCAGCCTCTGGGTTTATTGTGCTTTTCCATCTCCAATTTTTAAGAACAGACCTGTGCAACACTTTTGAACACTACCTATGTTCCAGAATGTAAGAAAAAGTTTATTCACACAACAGCCATTTGTACGTACAATCAATTCTTTTTACAGTAGACATAATGTACAAAACATTGCAACGCACGTAAGCCCTATCCCTATTAATAACTTCAACTCCAGAACATTTCAACTTCTCAACCCATAGGAATTAAATATATATATATTTAAAAAAATCAAAGCAAAAAATCCACAGAGACAAAAGCAAGATATCCCATGTGGAAAACTGGTTTATGGTTATGTTTATTTCCAAGTAAAACCATCTTTTAAAGATGATATATCAAGTTTTTTTTGAAGAGAGGTATAATCTCTTTATTCCAGAGATAATTTGGATCAGAACCCTCTGCTAGAAATTTCACTCCTTTTCTTGTGTTTGCACTCAAACTACAGATAACCACAATATCACTTGCTATTGTTTTTGAGACTGGTCAATCACGTATCAGTACTCCATTAATCCAAACCTAAACTTCAGTTGCTTAGGGATGCTTTTCCATTTGAATTTCAAATAAAGCTGTTGTCTTAATCTTTTTTAAAGACATGCAGTCATATGCAATCACAGTGTATTGTCTACAACACTCAATATAACTATTTTTGGGAAGCTCTAAATGCTGTAAGCTACCAAACATCATGAGGACAGAAAAGAACTTCCAGCATCAATGCTCATGGAGCAGCTGTAATTATGCAGCCTATTTCACATCAACGGTAGCAGACTTCTCCCTTTTCAGTTTTCAAATACTAATAGAGCCATATCAGCTTCAATTTCCTCAAGCTAAACATTTAAAAATGGCACTTCAAAAGATTTAATATTCTACTTATGAATTCATTGTTGTTCTGGAATTCATCTAAAGTTGTTTCATTCCTCCTCATATAATCGGCAGATTTAGTTTGATGAATCTGCTCAAAATAAAGGAGAACTATTTCACATGTCAGACAAGATTTCCTATGTATACCAGATACAATGTCATTTTAAAGAACATGTAAAATCAGTATGGATTATATGCAGGAAAAACAAATCCACTGCGGTACAGAGACTGCACAGAGACTGAATTCCTGTTTCACAGACTCTAGTTGCACCACTAAAGAGTGCGCTTTCAATACCTAAAGTAGCAGTGCAAGTGTCTACTTCCCTACTAATAATCTGAAACTCTGGCTACCCTCTTCAAAGCAGGCATTGTTACTCAGTCGGAAGCAGCGTAAAACCGCTGTTTTAACTTCTGGTCATAGAAACTCTAATGCTTTTTGGCACCTGGGAAAATAAGCATATTCACATCAGCCTTCAGCTTTGGAATCTATAGGGGTGTTTTCTTCTTAGCTGTGTCCAATTAACCAGCTTTTAAATTCAATGGTAAGATTCCAACAAAGCCTCCAAAACAGGTCTCAAAAATTGCACACTGTGAAGTTGCAAAGAGCATCTTGTATGCATTAATGAGTATTGACACCCTGCCAATTACAGGCCTAACAAAACATCTCACTGTATGTATATATACAGACACTAAAGTAAGCTTTAGAAATCAATGACTAAAAAAATAACCTTTCATCTTATTCAAATACAAGCCTTTGACCTGTTTACAGTTACTCCTCAAAATGTTGCTGATAAGTTAGTTTCAGTGCAATGACTTAACTTTTAAGTATATAGTTACAAGAAGGCTCATTAAAATGCTAAGAGGTATTCATTTTTATGCAGAAAAAACCCTAGAAAATAAAGCTTTAATTCTGCTGTAACTCATTTTAATTGGTAAAATATTTGCTATACAGAAGCATTAAGTTTACTGTGGATGGTACCTAGATCGGAGTAATTCAAAGCCCCCAAAGATTATATTTGATCATTGCCTTGGGTAAACTTATTTTTAAATCTGAGAGGCAAGACAGCCATTTTTTATTCTTAAATGATATTGAATGGCAACTTCAATTTAGTCTTTTTTTTTTTTTAACTCTGACATAGACCAATATAAGCATTCTGTGTTAAAACTCAAACAGTAGTACAGCATTGGGAAAAAAAAGCAGCTCAAATACATTTTC